GCCTCTGTATCTCCCCGGAGGCGTCCTGTCCCCGCCACCTCCCGGGACTGCCCCTACATCCCCCTCACCCGCAGAAATGCCCTATTGCCCCATCCCCAGAGCGTACCTCAGTGTAAAATTCCCCGTGCAGAGGCTGATCCCCAAACACACCCCCGCGTGTCCCTACGTTCCCCCGAGCATCTCCTCGCCCCCTGGGATGGCCTGGAGCCCCATCCCTAGAGATCCGCTCCCTCCTTAAGGTTGTCACCAAACTCCTTCCCCCAGCAGGACTGTTCCTCTCACCAGGTTGGGGGTGTGTCCGTGTCCCCCTGGGGGGGGTCTGCCCGCTCCCCCACCGCAGTCCAGTGCCCCAAGCCCAGGGCAGGCCGACACCGCCCCCCGCTCCAGGCCGCTCCCCCACTACCCCGAGTAGCCGCTGTACTCCCCGCCCGGAGGTCGAGCGCACCGGCCCTGGGGGTGTCCCAGAGTCCCCCCAGCGCCCCGTGTTCCCCCACCCCCCTTCTTGAACCCCTGTTCAGGACTGGGCTGGGAGGATTGTGGGGGTTGGAGGGGGGTTGAAGCCACACAAGAAGACTGAGCACTGCCTTTCCTTCTGTTCCCCAGATGAACCGTTCTCCAACCCCCTGGCCCCCGATGGCCACGATGTGGATGACTCACACTCCTTCCACCAGTGAGTACAACACTGGGGTACTGGGGCAGGACTGAGGCCCGAGGCCGGTTCCCCCCATCTAGAGGCTGCAAGTGACTGGTGCAGTGGAGCCTTTGGGCTCCCTCCACAGGGGGACCCCATGTCCGACTCTGTCGCACAGGACATACTGGCAAACCCACTGCCTCCTCAGAAGCCATCAGGCTGCCAAAGCTCATTGGGGGATGAAGGTTTCTGTTTCTCCTCTTCCTTGCAGATCCAAGCTGACCAATGAAGACTTCAGAAAGCTTCTCATGACCCCACGGGCTGCGCCAACATCTGCGCCACCGTCCAAATCTCGCCACCATGAGTGAGTAGGACGTTATTTCACAGGACTGTGTGACAAAGCATGTCTGCATTTCCTCAGGTTCTATTCCTGCCTGACTCTCCCTGGCTCTCTGCGGTTGAGTACCTAAAGGGGCTTTTGCTAATGAATGTGTGTCGTGATTCTGGCTGGGATAGAGTTAATTTTCTTTGTAGTAGCTGGTACAGTGCTTTGTTTTGTATTTAGTGTGAGAATAATGCTCATAATAGACCGATGTTTTAGTTGTTGCTAAGTAGTGCTTAAGTATTTTTTATTTTCCTTTGCTCTGCTGGCAAGCAGATGCACAAGAAGCTGGGAGGGACAGAAGCATGGTCAGGGCAGCTGGCCCAACTGGCCAAAGGGCTATTCCATACCATAGAGCATCATGCCCAATATATAAACTCGGACGAGCTGGCCAGGAGAGGCAGATGGCTGCTGGGGCATCAGTCAGTGGGTTGTGAGCAATTGCACTGTGCATCACTTGTCTTTTCTTGGGTTTTGTTTCTTTCTTTGTTATATTACTTTTCATTAGAATAATTATTATTACAATTATGTTTAAAATTAATATTATTATGACTATATTTTATTTTAATTATTAAACTGTTCTTATTTCAATCCACGGGTTTTACTTTTTTTTTATTCTCTCCCTGTCCTGCTGGGAAGGGGGAGGAGTGAGTGAGCAGCTTTGTGGTGCTTAGCTGCTGGCTGGGGTTAAATCATGACACTATGTAGACAGGACCCGAGGAGCAGACCTCGGCCTTCTTTTGTGCTTGGTTCCATGCAAGCTGTATGTGTATGTCTTAAGTGGAGAAACAAGTGGGTCAGGACTGTTGTAAATAACAGTGAGTTAACATGGCTGTTAAGATGCTCTGTGCACAAGCCAGATTTAGTTTTTGTTCTGTGAAAATCAGAGCTTTCTCCCTTCTCCCTGCTGACAGAGTGGAATTAGGGAGAAATGGGACTGTACTGTTCCCATCTTTAAGCATCTTGTGCTCTGCTGTGTCTGAGGGACTGTTCTGTCTAGCTGCCTGTGTTTGTATGGCTCTGCAGACTGTACGTGTGGTTTCTCGCCCTTTTCCAGGATGCCCCGGGAGTACAACGAAGATGAAGACCCAGCTGCTCGCAGGAGGAAGAAGAAAAGGTAAACAGGGAAAGCGATGCATCAGAATTTTTCTTCATACATCACGTCCCTCCTGTGGAAGCAGCTTCTGAGCTCTTGGGCCAGCAAAGAGGACCCTGAGTAACCAGGATTATCTCAGGGCTTTGGAGCCAAGCAGAGTGAGAAGAGCTTGGACTGAGTTTCTGTCACAGCTTGTGGGAACAGATGTGGGAGGGTGACAGCAGGACGGGGGTGAAGCTTCACCTCTGGAAGAAGTGGGAGAGGCTCTGTAGGTGTCTGGTAGAGCAGGGCAGTGGTGGGACATCTGCACCGGTGACTGTGTCTTCTGGGGCACATCTGCACAGCAGAACTGTACTTGACCTCTTCCCTTTGGAAGGGAATACAGAGCTCTTCTTTAGTTAGCCTCAGTTCGGTAGTTTCATATTGTCTGGTGTCCTCCAAGCATGTAGTGTCCCATGGTGCTTCAGCAGATTTTTGGGGAAGGGGTTGGAAGCAGAACAGGGGTGTGTGGGCCCTTGGGGACTGTTCCCTGACCATCAGAAGCATGAACATGTCACTAACACTGAGCTGTTTTTCCAACTCCAGCTATTATGCAAAGCTGCGCCAGCAGGAGATAGAGCGTGAGAGGGAACTGGCTGAGAAGTACAGGGATCGAGCCAAAGAGAGGAGAGATGGTGTTAACAAGGACTACGAGGAGACAGAGCTAATCAGCACAACTGCTAACTACAGGGCTGTGGGGCCAACGGCAGAGGCGTACGTGAGCCTGCAGCTCAGCCTTGTCTTGTTAGTCTGCTCCAGAGGGGCTGTCTTGTAACTGGCTCTATTTTTGTTGCACAGGGATAAATCCGCTGCGGAGAAGAGGAGACAGTTGATCCAGGAGTCCAAGTTCTTGGGTGGTGACATGGAGCACACTCACTTGGTGAAGGGTCTGGACTTTGCGCTTTTGCAGAAGGTGAGCACAGGTATCACCGTGCTGCTCTTCTACCCTGTCCACTCCCACAGGCAGTAGTTGCCACTTACAGCTGCTTCAGTCTTGTCAGAGTGGATTTCTTTTTCTGGGTAAGATTTATGAAGGGTTGAGGAGGTGATGGAAGTGGGTTTAATGGTTCTGATGGGCAGCAGTAGCACAGATTGGTCTGTTATGCATGGATTTGTTCTGTGGCCAGGTACGGGCTGAGATTGCCAGCAAGGAGAAGGAAGAGGAGGAAATGATGGAGAAGCCCCAGAAAGAAACTAAGTGAGTGGTTGGGGATTTTTCACTCCTGAGTGGAACTGCCTCACAGAAAGGGAGATGCAGAGAAGGCATGTGTTTAGCATAATACATATGTTTTTCTGTTTCTGTTCAGGAAAGACGAGGATCCTGAGAACAAAATTGAATTTAAGACCCGACTGGGTAAGACACTGTGGATGTGGCTGTTCCCCACCTTGTGTTGCCCTGTGAATGTGGGAGAAATCCTGGAGGATGAATGGAGAAATGAAAACCTTTAGTTGTTTAGTCTGAGGTATAGACATCCTGAATTTGAGGGCTGGAGGCAGTGTGTCTCTTAATAGGCGATTCTGATGTTCCTGATAAAATAAATGTGCTCCATTATGGGCTCATCCATTGCTCTCATAAGAGCAGCTCTCCCACGTGTTTCCTTCTCCAGGTCGCAACATCTACCGCATTCTGTTCAAGAACAAGGCCTATGAGCGGAATGAGCTGTTCCTGCCGGGGAGGATGGCCTACGTGGTAGATCTGGACGATGAGTATGCCGACACTGACATCCCAACCACGCTGATCCGGAGCAAGGCTGACTGCCCCACCATGGAGGTGTGCAGCTGGCATCCAGCTCGCTTGACTGCACTGGTCTGAACTGGCCAGAGCGGGTCTTGCCAGGAGGAGTTCCCAGTCAGAGGAGTCTGATGCTTCCTCGGGCATTTCTCTTCCAGGCACAGACCACGCTGACCACCAATGACATTGTCATCAGCAAACTGACGCAGATCCTCTCCTATCTCAGGCAAGGGACCCGCAACAAGAAGCTCAAGAAGAAAGACAAAGGTAGAAGATAAGGGGAATTATAACAACTTAATGCTTGAAGCATATCCTGAGAGAATGAGATGTGTTTTGGTTTGCTGTATTTCTCTGTGCCAGGAGGCAGTGGACTTAAGAGGACAGCTATTTCCTGTAGCTCCCTGAGCACTGTGTCTTGACAGCAGGCTGTTCTGTGGCAGGACCATATGCTGCTGAGAAATTTTAGCTGCCAGGGTGCCTAGTGCTGCTCTACTCTTCCTGGTTAAGGCCCAGTTCCTTAGGGAAGTGTCCCATGTTGGGAGGGGGAGAACAAAATGGCTTCCTGAGAGGACTAGTTATGATGTGGTAGCCAAAGAGGAAGTCAGGACATCCTCTAGGCCTACCACTTCTGGGACTTGGAAACATGATTGGGGACAGGGAAAGAGCGCAGATGGCAGATTGAACGATGTGCCTCTCACTGCTGTTGTGTCCTTGCAGGGAAGCTGGATGAGAAGAAGCCCCCTGAAGCTGATATGAAGTAAGTGCCTCCCTGCTCACAGCTCTCTGCCTTCAGGAAGGTCTTGTTGGCCCACCACATTTGGAGGGGGTTGGGTTTGGTGCTCTGGAGCGAGCTGCCCCTTTGGACCTGTGGTTTCTAGGAAAAGGCTGGAGGCAAGCTCTGGTTTTGATTTCAGGCTTGAGGCAGGCAAGGGCTCTCTGTTGTCATGGGCCACAAGAAGCAGGTCCAGGCAGCAGAAGAAAGCAGAAATGCAGTGATACCTCTGACAGATGTAGAAGCAGGTTCTAGTGGTCATCCTTAGCTGTCGGTGCTGGTGCTGCATGTGCCTTTATCAGGCTCCAGTTCAAAGGGAGGTGGTTGTGGCCTCTTCTCTTGCAGCACCCGTAACTGCAGGCTCTTTTCCACTTCTAGCATCTTTGAGGACATTGGAGATTATGTGCCCTCCACTGCCAAGATGCCACGGGAGAAGGAGCGGGAGAGGTACCGTGAGAGAGAGCGTGACAGGGACCGGGAACGTGACAGGGACCGGGAACGTGACAGAGACCGGGAGCGTGAGAGGGA